GTCATCAACGGGTGTATCTTGACATTTAATGTGACAACATCTATTAGAACAAGTTGTCCAAAAACTATTCTATCTTAAATTTGTGCATGAACAAAAAAATCTAAGTAAATTACTGGAAGAATTAGATCGAAACTTAAAAATAAAATCCACATTTATTAAAAGATTCAGATGTTCGAATAGAAATTAAATTACAACAACAAATATGTTGTGTGCTTTATTTGAACTTTAAAGAATAAATCAAATCAAATTTATGTCCTTGATATTTAAAAATGACAATGGTGGTAACAAAAAGTTAAACTAAAAACTTTGACTAGGTCAACACCGTTAAATAGAGATATCTCTGTTTGTATTCAATCTATCACATTCTCTCTATAAGAAAGCATGATACCATTGGAAATGCAGTGTTTCTTTCATCTTAATCCAAAAAAATCAATCTAAGATAATTTATTTTTAATGTGTTTTTTGATAATTTTTTTATTTGTTTGAAATGTTGAAATAAAATTGAATTACTATTTTATTAGTTCAATATGAGATCGATGAGTAATGAGTCATAACGATTTGTTAGAACAAATTTTAACTTTAAATGGGATCGAAAATCGGAAATACTAAATATATTATCATAGTATGTTGATTTGAAAGTGGACAGTAGCTTTGTTCATGTTTTATTTTTTTGAGATGTTACTCATAATTATCTGTATTTGTTTGACATTCATTGCATTGATTTTAACTATAATATGGTTACTAAAAACATCTGGTTTGTTTCATTCCATACGTGTACATGTTAAAGAACCACCCATTGATGAATGTTTTATTGCTTATAAATTTCAACGTGGACCATATTCGACAGCTGCTGATATTTTCAAAGATATTATGAATTTTTCACCATCTGCCAATACAATTGGCATTTATTATGATGATCCTAATAGTGTGAGTTTTTTTCTCTACGAATAAGTTTGAATTAGTAAATGCCATAGTTGATAGTATTTTTAGGTTTCATCTAATTCTTCCAGTAATTTACTTAGATTTTTTTGTTCATGCACAAATTTAAGATAGAATAGTTTTTGGACAACTTGTTCTAATAGATGTTGTCACATTAAATGTCAAGATACACCCGTTGATGAC